AACAGGCAAAGCCAACAGGCAAAGCCAACAGGCAAAGCCAACAGGCAAAGCCAACAGGCAAAGCCAACAGGCAAAGCCAACAGGCAAAGCCAACACCGAGACGCAAATCGCTTCGGAGCAACGTCAGTCACCCACGTGGCCCAAAGTCTGAAAAGAAATCCGAAGACGAAGAGAGAGAATGGGCAGCCAAAACATGCGGGAAATACTACCCGCAGCGATTCAAACTCCCCCGAACTCGAACACCTGACGGAACAGTAATGAAGACCTGCAAAAGCCTCGCGAGCAGATACTTCAGATTCGCTACAGACAAAGGCTTAACCGTGGAATACTTAAAAAGGATAGGGAGAGCCATAAGCGACGAATGCTGGTGGTGCGGAGATCCTCGGCAGAACCGGGAACACCTCTTTAAAGAATGCAGACATTGGAGAAGACAACAGGAAAGACCTAAAGCAGGTCGGCCTTACAAAAAGGCATGCACTCTCCACTATCTTCGCGGAACGGAAGGCCACAGCGGCTATTCTGAATTACCTGGAGACGACGAAAGTGAGGACGGTACAGAACGACTCCGAATTAAGAGAGGAAGAAGAGAGAAGGGCCGAAGACTGGGAGTGGGAGCAGCACGAAGAGGGAGGAGTTGAAACGGAAGAAAGAGGGGAGTAGGAGGTACCGAGAAGAGGGAGCGGAGAGAGCAGAGGGCGGAGGAGAGGTGACATACATAATAATGGAAAGGAAGAGGAGAGAACGTGCTTAGCAGCCCGCTAGCACAACTCAAAAGGCGGTCATCGCCAGCGCGAAGAGTCGGCGAGAAATAGGGTTGACTGTGGACGAATTTCCATGTATTCAGAAGGCCTGTAAGAAGCAGAACTAAAAAGGGGAGGGGGAGGGCGGAAGCTGTAGAGTAGATGACGCGCCACATCCCAAAGGGACGCATGCGCTTAAATGATATCAATCAATCAATCAATCGGTGCACCACTACAAACAACGGGGAGGGGGTGAGGAAGAGTGTATGTAGTTGGCCGCACCATATCCCAACGGGACACATGCGCTAAAATGAATTCAATCAATCAATCAATCAATGCACCACCACAAAACCACTGCTGTCACCATGTTCATGAACCATCGGCGGTGTCAGCGACTGTTGTCGCCGTCGCCTTCACAATCACCCTCAACGTCGTCATGGTACTCGACACCCACCACATCACCACATCACCACATCACCACATCACCACATCAGCGTTCACATCCACATCCACACAGCATAGTGCTGAACCACCACCAGCAGGCCCGATAACTAGCCGAACTGTTGGCTTCTCACCATCACCATCATCACCATCATCATCATCACCATCACCATCATGACGCACGTCACTCGCGCTCAACTCGCGCTCGACACAACTCGCAACATCAACGCGGGGTGAGACCAATATTTCATAGCCACAACTACTGTAGGAGATAGATGTTCTAGGTTGAATCGGATTACGCCCTCCACCATGACTCACCTCTACACTACACTACACTCCATGGTCTAGTTACTCGACATCGCTACATCCCTACTCCCCGCTTCTTGAAACCTCCCACATATCTCGGATGTACCGAGTACTGGATATGATGGATGATCCACAATCTGCCATCTACGTATAACGTTACGAGTACCGTTGTCTCCGCAGCATCCTCTTCATAGAGGTGGGTCTCTGCACCCGCCTCTTTTAGTTTTCGGTGATGTTCTTTGATATCTTCCACTACTTGTGACCCCGGTCCTAGTTCCATTGATTGAATTCTTCTCAGGGCGATCTGGGAGAGTAGAGTCGTGGAAGATTGATTGATTGATTGATTCTAATCATTTAAGCGCATGCGTCCCTTTGGGATATGGCGCGAGGTAACATACAGACCCCCCCTTTCCACAGCGTGACGCTGCTTCTATTCTACAAGACTCTGCTTCATCCGTTTTCAACCACTTCCCCTCCGCCCTCTGCTCTCTCCGCAGCGAGCACTGTCCCGGCATCTGTGGTTTATAATTAATAAATGTTAATGAGAAATCATCTGGTCCCTTAGCTCAGTTGGTTAGAGCGTGGTGCTAATATTGGGTGATTTACTGGACATCTAGTGAGGAACATATCGATATATAGTAACGCCAAGGTCGCAGGTTCGACCCCTGCAGGGACCACTTTTATATTATTTTTTTAGCGTCAAAAAAAAAAAAAAAACTATATGTAGGTTGTTTTATATGCCCTACAGGATAAATCTCATTACAGTATATACGTGTACCCAGTGTTCAACATAACCTCTTTCGTTAGATATGACTTCCTCGTCAACACTTTACAACCTTGTCTTAAAACCACCCGTCACATCATCGTTTTCGTGCTCAACTTGAAATTTACCACCATCTGCTTCCTTCCTATACAAGCATAAGATTCCGGTGGAGGGAACGAAGCCGTGGATAGACCTGAAGAATCAGTCGATGCCACAAGTGCTCTCTTCTCTCTATATTCAGAAAAGTTGATGAGCAAATGAGGAGTGAAAAGAGCTATGCGGCAGTCACAAGCCTCATATCTTTTGTAAATACTAAATATACGCATGGAAGTTCTTGTGGTGGAGCATGGTAGAACCTGATGTTACTGATTTTGTCAGTAGTATCGGTCAGTGGAAGCGCTCTCTTGAACACGCACAGTGGATACGGGCTGTGATTTGTGTTAAGTGTCTTTTCAACCTTTCTATTTGATTCGTTGCTCCTTCGGATCGCTGGCAGGGGAGTAGTGATAAGTGTTGACCACATACCAGACCGTGCCATTATCTTGAACTCGCCAGGATATCGGGAAGCGGTGATAGCTAGTCCAGGGACAGTGAGGAAGGTATAGAAGTTCGAGGTGGATGGATGGAGGTAAGCAGGATCAGTGAGGTGGAGGGAGCATTGGTAAGGGAGTTCCAGCAGGTTGCTGAGATGCGGGGAGGTTCATCATGCATCACCCGAATATTGCATTTCAACCAACAAGCAAGTCCATGACTTCGTCCTCAGATCTCCATTTCACATATCCATACAAACCCCTCCTCCTCCGTATTATTATCTTCACCCACCATTATTTCAAACCCCCAGCCTGGTATTCTCCCTCACACGCCCGGCGCATTCACCTTCCCCCTCTCCTTCTCCTTCTCCACCTCCCGTTTCCTCCTCTCCTCCTCCATCCGCCACTTCTCCTTCTCCTTCTCCCACGCGCCATCCCTCAATGGTGGCTTGTCACACGCCGGACCACCAATGAGCTGCCCGGCCTTTCCATATCCACCTGCACCGTCCCCAGTTCCACGACTATGTCGCGCATCGTGATCTCCGGGGGCTGAAGCTTGGCTATCTCGATGGAAATCAGGGGTTTTATGGCGGTTGAGTTTGCCAGTGTGCGGCATCTCGTCTTGAATCGGAAGGATCACTGGGCTGTGGTTAGAGAAAGAGGTTGCGGTGATCAGGGGAAGGAAACGGACCAGAGTGAGGGTTATCGTAGGCTATGCAGGGTGTTAAAGCGATGGAAATTTCTTTCCAGTGTGTGCTGAGGATGGAGCCAACAGTTCGATGTTTTATACACCCGTCCGTTGTTGGGAGAGATGGTGGTGATAGGTGGTGAGATAGTGGGAATATCATGACCATGACGATATTCATCAGACCTCCCCCACGCACCTGCACGCGTCGTCTGACACTGGCATATCGGTGGGAAATCGCCCGTGTATCAGCGGATTCCACAAGCACCTCCAGCTGTCCACCCAAATGACAACCAGCAAATAAAATATAAAAATAAATGGTCCCTGCAGGGGTCGAACCTGCGACCTTGGCGTTACTATATATCGATATGTTCCTCACTAGAGGTCCAGTAAATCACCCAATATTAGCACCACGCTCTAACCAACTGAGCTAAGGGACCAGATGATTTCTCATTAACATTTATTAATTATAAACCACAGATGCCGGGACAGTGCTCGCTGCGGAGAGAGCAGAGGGCGGAGGGTAAGTGACATACACAATAATGGAAAGGAAGAGGAGAGAACGTGCTTAGCAGCCCGCTAGCACAACTCAAAAGGCGGCCATCGCCAGCGCGAAGAGTCGGCGAGAAATAGGGTTGACTGTGGACGAATTTCCATGTATTCAGAAGGCCTGTAAGAAGCAGAACAAAAAGGGGAGGGGGAGGGCGGAAGCTGTAGAGGACGCGCCACATCCCAAAGGGACGCATGCGCTTAAATGATAGCAATCAATAAATCAATCAATCAATAAATCAATCTATGTAGTGGTAGCAACTACCACCACACCGCCATAAGGGCGAATCGGTGAGTTGAGATGTCGGTCGTCAAGCTTGAAGTGTGTAGACACTGTGGTTGTCGCAGGGCCACCGCAAAATGCCGACTGCGCATACGCATTCTGCAACGTTTGTCATGGTGGTTTTGCCCTCAGGCATCACCGTTCTGAAGAACAGATTCACAAGCCCGCGTTCACTTCATCTCTCTACAATACATCGCGAAGTCTCCGTGATCGCCAGCTTCAACGCTCTCGGTCGGCACCGTATTCCACGAAACATATTTGGCGGTGTTTGATGTCATGGCGTATCACCGCTGGTTGAATTGTCACTTCTGTTTGCAACGTTCCCTCTCGTCACCCTTCTGTCTCATTCACGGTCTTCACATCGACATCATCTTCAACAGCAATACCGCATCCGCAAACCCCGCTCGCCAAATTCCCGACCACCATTACCAGCCGTGATCACCATCATCACCATCGTCGGCCCAACTCACTCCATCCCTCGCCGGATACTCCCACGACGCAACGTTTCCACCTACGAATCCGCACATCAACATCCGCATCTCGCTCACCACGGTCGCCGTCTTAGAGTCGCTCACATACCCGCACCGCGCTCGCCTGTACGGATCTGTTTGAGGCGGCTGATGGATTGCAGTTGCGGCGGTCAGGGGCTGGGGAGAGATGTGGTATTGGGTGATGGAGGGCTGGGAGATAACTGATGAATACAGGTACAGGTTGACATATCGATGCGCTGTTTTCTGGAGGATGGAAATGGTGATGCGTGCGTGATTTGGAGATCTTGGTAGGGAAATCCGGAGTGATGCTGACGGAATGTTATTGCAGGAACTCGATTGAACGGTGTGTCATGGGGCTTTCGAGACTGTTACACAATGGAGAGAACTCATGGCTGGTGGGAAACTCGGCATAACACGAGAACCGAGTGTGGTGATAGGTGAAAGTATATTCCCAAGGGATTGCTTCTTTATACCACAGCATAGAGCTCTCCAGTCTCGATTCACACACTCAACCTCAGCTATCAATCCTCTTTCTCCAGGTCTCCGTGTCTACATACCATCATCATCCGTCTCCAACTCCGTCCCTTAAACGTGCCAAAGCACAACCTATAGAGCACATTAGCACGTCTTCTTCTCCTCTTGCGGACCACCCCACTATTACTTACCCCATTCCCGCTCCGTCCCCTCGACCAAGCACCCACGGTCCCATCCCCGAGCTGACACACATCGAGCAGCACCTGCGCAATATCCCTCACATCCGTACACGGATTCGGTTCGCCGAACCCACAATAGCTCAACCTCGCATTCCCGGAGCTTGCCAACAAATTACACCCAGACGCATCAGGCAGCGACGCGCAAGTTGCACTACCCCCGGGGAGCGCGTTGATGGCTGCTTGTGTGTCTGTGATGCTGGGTCGGACTGAGGGATAGGTGCTGTTGGCGCATTGGCCGTTGTGGAGGGGGATGCCGTATGTGGAGAGGGAGAAGCTGGGGTGGTCGTAACCCGGGTAGGTGGGGATGGCGGTGGTGAGGAGGGGGAGGAGGAGAGTGGGAAGGAGGGAGGTGAGGTGCATTGTGGTTGGTGATAGGTTGTGGAAAGTCTGAGGAATACCGGAGTGATTGTTCGGTTGTTGATCTGGTAGAGACGGTGGTACTCAAGCTGTGTTATACCCCATAGCAGCCAGATAGATCACCTTAAATACACTTCCCCAGACTCCCCAAACACTCCCAGCTTCAGCTCCCCCGCATTCTCGTAGGCGTACCGGGACCATCGGATCCCTAAAGACGTGGCTGATGAAATGCATCCAGATATAACAACCACATCTCGTATTGTTGGCAATTCAAGCATGCCGAGACTCGTATCAGGCTCGGAGATTTCAGATCGCGGAGGCGATGGTCGAATAGTGTTCTGGGGCTGCTGGGGATTGCCGGATGTCAGCGGAACGGAGAATCTTGGGTACGAGATGCCCTGCGTCATGGTGCGAGGATGGAGGATGTTGTGCAACGATGGGGGGAAAGTTGGGATACATGATATGCAAACCTGAGACGGTGTTGCGGAAATAACTTGCTCGACCAGACGCTTTTCCGATCATCGTACTGATGAACTGACAATTGCCACGCTGCCATCGCTGAATGTATGGTTGTTGACATGATGGCATTCATCGCGACATTTCAGCTATGGGGGAGTTACGAGAAGTCGAAATGTCCGAACCTTCATAGGTGGCCTGGTAAAGCATTATGTCAGCACTCACGAACCCCATTCCGCCTCGTAGCCGCACACAAAGAACATTTCATGGACAAATATGTTTGTTTGTTTGTAATCATTTTAGCGCATGCGTCCCTTTGGGATATGGCGCGAGAGAAACTACTATACATGCATCCCCTTTCTGCAGCATCTATTCTTGCTCTATTTCATCCATTTTCAACCATTTTCTCGCCGGCCTTCCTGCCTCTGCAGTGGCCGCCTTTCGAGCTGTGTACTTTTCCTGTACCTTGGGCTCTCCTAAGCCCTCCTTTTGTTGTCATCCTCTCTTTTTTTTTTTTTTTTGATTCCTTATGTATCCTCTGCCTCTGCTCCGCCCTCCTCCGCCTCCTCTCCCCAACCCCACTCATCGCTCCACCGTTCCTCTGTGGCTACGTCTTCAAATACTGTGTTTAGGCTCCCTACGTGCGTTGCCTGGATGAAATTCAGGATTGCTGGGGTTGTCCTGGGTTCCGAGAAGATTGTCGACAGCGCGTGTGACTTTGTGAACCCTCTTTTCCTAGTGCGGTCCATAGCTCGTCCTGTTGTCTTTTCCATGTTCTGCACTCTTGGAAAAGGTGGTCGCGGGTCTGGCGGGGTCCGTTGCACCACCAACACTTGTTACAGTCTCTTTTCCCTATCGACTTCAAGTACACCGCGGTGACTGCACGGTCAGCTGCCCAATATGTGGTGTTGAGCCCATCGTGGGTATTAGTATATCATTGCAAAACGTTATATTTAAATCATCCAGGTCCCTTAGCTCAGTTGGTTAGAGCGTGGTGCTAATATCGGGGATGATTCATCATCTAATGATGAAATATTCGATACAAGTAACGCCAAGGTCGCAGGTTCGACCCCTGCAGGGACCATTTCTTTTGTTGGGTTGAAGTTTGTACTCAAATGAAGATGCGTGTTGGGGAGAGGATGCTGTATATGTGGGTGTTTTATGGTGTTTGGGTGTTTGGGTGTTGTGGCGGGCTGCAGGCGCTGTAGACATGCCCGTCGTGGAACGACGAAGTTCGTGTACCACCGCACAACGAAATCAGACTGGTTTTGATGTCATCTGTAGGAAGATATAATGTTCGACTCAGGTTCTTCGAAATGATTGCCAAAAAGCTGGCTGATTTTCAACCGGGCGTAGCGACTGAGAATTTGGGGTCGGTTGTGTCTGTGAAGCGCGTTAGATCCTTGGTATTGACAGCAGGATTTCCGAACAGGGAAATTAGAAATCAGAGTGAGTGAAGACGTGAGGAAGGGAGGGGTGCCAGGCGCGGTGGGAGTATCAGAACCTAGTGATGTATTTAATGAATTGTATTGCCTTTTTACGTGCCGAGAGAGCTATATAGAAAGAAGTTCAGCCTGCTATACTTCTAAATGGAAATTCATTCGGTAGAAAGTGAGTGCTTGGTGTGGTGAAGCGCGATGTTACACTTTGATCACCTTCGCAGCCAACCACTACGACACTTCACTCCGCCATCCATCTGCGTCCCTATCATCCCATCTCTCCTCATTGCGTGTTGTCTCATCCTACCAGTTCGCTCCTACGGCCCGCAAAGCCGTCCTCGACTTCTCCCTGGCCTCGGCCGACAACATCGGGCTCCACAACTCCACCATCGCGACAGATTCTGAGACGCGCTTGTTTCGACATAATTGCCAGATTAATTGGCTGAACAAGACCATCAAGGCGACAGGGGCTGGGCCTAGACTTCCCCACTCCGCCAGGATGTTTCAGGCACCAGAAACAAGCCGTTGAACTTTCTCTCCAAGCGACCAATGGACAGACTATTCTTCCCCTTGGAGTACTTCTTCCGAACCTCTTGAATCGGTTCTACTCCCGAAACCCCGTACCTGCATCGTTCCACACCTCAACCTCGGAGATACGACGTCGCCTGCATAGAAGCTGTCAAACTCGCATTTACCCGGGGTCGCGAAACAGCGGGGAAGACGGCTTTGGTAAGGGCACAATTCATGTAGATTAAATTTCGGCCCGACTAACTGAGAGTTGTAGACTGAACCATGTTGTATAAGATCCTCATCATGGCGTGCGTTCACTTTACCAATACCGCTTCTCAACAATGTACGGGTTCAAGATCTTCGTCGCGCTGGTCGTTTTACACGTTTCCGCAGCCCTGGCGGCGTTCGGGCTCACTTCGGATTCGAGCTCGTATACCGTCGATGCTGGAAGTGCGAATCCCTTGATCTTCAAGGTGTCGCGCAGCAACTGCGATATCACCTCGATTCTGTATCGTGGACGGCAGCTCCAGAAACAGAGCCCCTACTCACATATCAACTCGGGATTGGGAACGGCTACCGTGAGCGCGCGGGTTATTGAGGGTTTGTTTCTCTTAAATACCGTTGTTAGAATGTTTGGAAGCTGACCAAAGCCAGGAAAATACATCATCATCACCTGCAGAGTAACCGACCTCACCCACCACTATGTCGTCAGAAACGGCGAGTCGATCATCTACATGGCAACCAACATTGCGAAACTTCCTTCGATTGGAGAACTTCGCTTCATCGCGCGCTTGAGTTCTAGCGAATTGCCAAACGCACAGTATCTGGGTGCTACCACAGGCGGGTCGTCATCTACAGTTGAAGGAAGCGACGTGTTCATCGTCAATGGCCAGACGAGGTCAAAGTTTTATTCGAGTGAAAGGTTTATCGATGACGAGGTTCACTGTATTTGGGGGAGCGATGCTCGCGCTTGTATGGTCATCCCTGACCCGATCGGATACGAGACTTCTGCAGGTGGTCCCTTTATGAGAGATATCAATACTAACCATGTCGGTGACCGTCACGACTTGTATTGGGTAAGTTCTCTCAGACTACATGGTTGTATATCGTAACAGCGCATGGCTAACTTCACATAGTATCACAACAGTGGTCACCTCCGAACAGAGTCGGTGAGAACTGGTCTCTATGGTCCATTCGCCTTGTCCTTCTCCCGCTCCGGCGACCCATCCAAATCTCTTGACACTACCTGGTTCTCCGAACTCGCCATCTCCGGCTACGTCCCCATGTCCGCCCGTGGTTATGTCTCCGGCACTGCCAGCGGAGTTCCATCAGGATTCCAATCAGTGCTTCACTGGTACAACAACGTCGCGCAATACTGGACGTTTGTCTCCTCCAATTCCCCGTTTCTTTGGCAACATTAGAGCTCATCAATCATAGGTACGCAAATGGCAAATTTGTCTCTCCGCCCATGAAACCCGGAACCTACACCATGGTTCTCTACAAAGGAGAATTCAAGATTGCCCAAAAAACCGTCACCGTCCAACAGGGCAGCACCACAACCTCCGACATCACCGGCTCCGAGGACCAACGCACCACGATCTGGCGTATCGGTGAATGGGACGGAACACCCAACGGCTTCCGCAACGCCGACAAACAGCTTCGAATGCATCCGACCGATTCTCGGATGAGTTCCTGGGGTCCACTGACCTTCACCGTGGGCAACGATATCTCCGGCTTCCCCATGGCCCAAGTCATGTAAATCCCCTCTTCCCCAGTCTCCATCCCCCCAGCTAACCTCCCTCCACCAGGGCCGTCAACAACCCGACCACGATCAAATTCACGCTCTCCTCATCCCAAGCTAGCGGCACACTGAAAATCCGAGTCGGCACCACCCTCTCCTTCGCCGGCGGTCGTCCGGTGGTGACCATCAACTCCTGGACCTCCTCGACGCCCGTCGCGCCGGTGAAAATCGACTCGCGCGGGATAACGAGGGGCGGGTATCGTGGGTATGGTGAGGTGTATGAGTGGACGCTTCCGAGCGGGACGGTGAAGACGGGGGATAATACGATGACGATTAAAGTCGTGTCGGGGAGTTCTGGGGAGGCGTTTTTGAGTCCGAATTTTGTAAGTGCTCTTGGTTGAAACGGGGAGGGTAGGGAGAAGGTGCTGACTTATCCTGCGCGGGGTAGATATATGATGCTGTTGAGCTGTTGAAGTAGTGGCTGAAGTGTGAAGTGAGGATGGTGATGCGGTGTTGTGGTGGGATGAGCAGGATGCGACATGGTGCTGCTGAGTCACGTGCATTCCATCTTGTATACATGTACATATTACTTCTCTTTAACCCATTTCCACCCCACACATTTCCACCCAGCGCTACACCAACCGTGGAGACGGCAGTAATGAGGTGATTGATTGTTTGATTGATTGATATCATTTAAGCGCATGCGTCCCTTTGGGATATGGCGCGTCAACTACTCTACAACCTCCACCCTCCCCTTTTTGTTCTGCTTCTTACAGGCTTTCTGTATACATAGAAGTTCGTCCACTGTCAACCCTATTTCTCACCGACCCTTCGCGCTGGCGATGGCCGCCTTTTGAGTTGTGCTAGCGAGCTGCTAGGCACGTTCTCTCCTCTTCCTTTTCATTATTGTGTGTGTCACCTCCCCTCCTCCCCTCCGCACTCCGCACTCCGCTCCCCGTTCTCACTGCTCTCTGCTTTCGACGCCTCCTACTCCCCTCCTTCTTCCATTCCAGCTTCTCCCTCTTCGTGCTGCTGCTCCCACCCCCACTACTCCGCCCTCCTCTCTTCCTCCTCTCTCGTTTCTGAGTCGTTCTGCACCTTCCCCACATTTGTCGTTTCCAGGTAATTCAGAATAGCTGCTGTGGCCTTCCGTTCCGCGAAGATAGTGGAGAGTGCATGCCTTTTCGTAAGGCCGACCTGCTTTAGGTCTTTCCACAGCTTCTCCTGTTGCCTTCTCCAGTGTCTGCGGTCTTTAAAGAGGTGTTCTCGGTTTTGTCGAGGTTCTCCGCACCACCAACATTCGTCGCTTGTGGCTCTCCCTATTCGTTTCAAGTATTCTGCGGTTAAGCCTTTGTCTGTGGCGAATCTGAAGTATCTGCTTGCGAGGCTTTTGCAGGACCTCATTACCGCTTGGTCTGGCTTTCTGGTTCGGGGGAGTTTGAATCGCTGCGGGTAGTATTTCCCACATGTTTTAGCTGCCTATTCTCTCTATTCCTTCTCTGTTCTCTCTCTCCGTCTCCGGGCGATGTGGGTAATTGAGGTCGCCCCAAAGCGCCTTGCGTTCTTGTGTTGGATCTGTCTGGATGCTTCTTTTGCAGCTTCGTCTGCAACCTCGTTTCCTTCGATACCGTGGTGCCCTGGGACCCAGTGGAAGTGGGTCTCTATACCCTCTTCTTTCGGCTTTCGGTGGTGTCCTCTGATATCTTCCACGACATTGGACCCTGGTACTGGTTCCGTTGATTGGATCCTTCTCAAGGCGCTTTGTGAGTCCGTGAAGACTTTGAGCGTACAGACCGAATCTCCTCCATTTTCCAGGGCATTCTGTAGAGCGTAGCGTAAGGCTTCGGATATAGCGAATAGTTCTGCGTCAACAACCTCTTTTGTCGACCCCAAGTTCCATAGTCTCGTTTTCCACTGTTCTTCGAAGTCCAGTTGTGCTGTGGCCGCCCCAATGTTTGCAGTAATGAGGTGTTATAGCAGTGATGGTATATAAACCACCAACATGATCTACCACAAACAGAACGGTCCCTTAGCTCAGTTGGTTAGAGCGTGGTGCTAATATTGAGTCACTCATAGTGAGGATTCGATATAGTAACGCCAAGGTCGCAGGTTCGACCCCTGCAGGGACCACTTTTTGGGTTTCTTTTCGGTTGGGCTCGTTTTGGCTCGCGCCCTGGAGGGTTGGATTCAGAAAGATCATGAATACGGACGGTATCGTTGCATGAGCGGGCGGGGATGATTGGGTTGCCAGTGGTGCTTAGGTTCGCGCGGTTGTCGAGGAAGAAGCTGACATATCCTTTTCCATCACTTCAACAACTGACTCTCGAGACAAATCGTAGAATGTCTGCATACCCGATACAAAATAGAGAAGCGCCTTCTGGATGTGAGAGGAAGGGATGCCGTCGTCGATGGTGGGCGAAGGTTGTCTTGTAGCTTGAGTTATCTGGCGATGTTCTCCGAGCTCCAGGCAAGTTGATGTTACCCAAGTCAGTGCTTCACAAGTTTTGAGATCAATGAACGTGTTCGGAATAGAACCGCGCGGTTGGGTTGGAGGGAATCTGCTGGCGAGTGGGATTGGTATCATACCGGGATGAGTACTGGCTGGTAGTCGGCGCGATGGGAGTCGAGTTTGGGCTTCTAGAGACGGCGGGGCGGGGATGATCTACTGGATGGATGGAATGAGGCGCAAATGTGGACAATAATGAACACGGAAAGCGGAAAAGTGTCACAGGGTGGTAATGAGAGCACTTGAAAGTAATGTGGTTCTTGATGGAAAGTAGAACGAGTATCAAATCATGACGCCCACCACCAGGGCTTCGGTTTTCCTCGCAACGCCGCCGCCCCATCTCCATTTCCCCATCAACCTCATCATTACCACTCCCCCTCCTCTCCACTCGTCAGCTTAACCAATTCTACTCCGCCTTCTTCCCGACTCTCTTAATCCTCGGCACTCCATTCGGCCCCTGTATAACAACCGGCAAGTCATCACCATTCTCCACAACCTGAGCCTCAACAGCATCCCGCTTCTGGTGCACCGCAGCAGAAACCTTCTTCTCCCTGGTGCCCTCGGGGTACGGGAACGGAATCTCGACGTCCAGGGAGTCGACAATGTGCACTTGGCCGTTGACGTTTTGGACTGAGAAATTGGGAGTCTGTGGTCGGGAGGAGGGGAGAGGTTAGTGGTCTTAAACTTGAGTTTGGAGACAGAGAGAGTAGGGGGAGAGGAATAGGGGGAAGGGGGGACAAACGGGAACAGCGGAAACGGCGACGGCGAGAGCGCCGGCAATGAGGAACTGGAGGAGGAGGCTGGACTGCATTTTGGTATTGACGTGGATGGAGTGGTGGTGTATCGCTGAGGGGAGCAAAAAAAGTGTGTTGGGTTAGGGATATGGGTATATCAACGTCGACCTGAGGAGTTTGCGGTGGTGGCTGATGGGAGAGCTCAGGAAGGGCGCCGGGAGAGAGGGTTTATAACGTTGATTGATGTCCGCCGAGTCTTCAGTGTGGATAGGAGGTGGGAGTTAACCTTGGTGCGAGACAAGAGTTAACCTTCTTCCTTCTTTCTGGATTCTTCTTGGCTTTACCTGGAAAACAGGGTTTTTCTTCAGCGGCGAGAGAAGAGAGTGTACTAGTATATATAGCCATGATTTCATACCGCGGGTTACGGAATCATATTTTTGAGATCGGGATGCATTGCCAATGGCGCACGGGTCGGGGCGTGCCAGAGGGAGACAACGCATTGGGAAGGTGAAAGCTAGTGGGGGCTGATAGGTTCATTGGATCAGGAATGAGGTCGGAGGACTTAGAAATGGTGAACAGAGAAGTCGATAAATCGGACGCGTAGAACGGCGTCAGAGGAAGAGTGCTCACTGATATTCATGTGCAGTCACTGACGAGAGACTTGTACCGAAGCCAAGTTGCCTATCGCCAATTGCACCAATACACCAGAGAATATCCAGCCATGATCACGTATGCATAGCAGTATTTGTTGAAGAGACACATGTCCCGCTACACCAGCAGTGTGTTGTTGAGGTCAACAGTATCCCCGCCACTGGCTCCTCCCGTGTATCTTCTATCTCCTCAACCCACAACGCGCACACCTCATCACCACCAACCATCCGCAACCCCAACCCAACAGCTTCCTATCGCCTTCCCCTCCCCGATCCATCATCCACCGCGCGTGATCCATCCCGCTCATCATGATCCGTCAACAAACCTTCAGTTATCCAGCATCCGAATCCCAGTCTTCCGACTTGTATCCCCCCAACCCCTGACCGCAACTGAAACTACTGTAGTCTACCCCACAGTAATATACGAGGATGATCCCCCACACGACGCTAATATGTGCGGCCGTATACTATACTATCATAGACGGTTATCCACTGCCGCAGCTCCGATCATACGATGATGTTCAAGTTGCAACGGAGTTGGAGTCATGGAGTGTGACTCGGAGGGTGGGTTACGTTTGAGAGATCTAGATACGTATTGTAAAGAGCAGAGAGGAGGAACGCACAATAAACGAAACCATGTATTGGTGTGCGAGAGGTGGAGCCCCCGACGGCGTGAGAAGCCGAGGGCTTCTTGTTCCAAGACTCGAGAGTCAAGAAGCTGAGAAGAAAGCTGAGAAGAAAGCTGAGAAGAATCCCGCGGCGCTCGCGAAACATTGAAACCATCCGACGTTCTCTTCCATTATTCTACTCTTCCACTATCCCGTTGTATATGCCGCTTCATCAGGCGTTTCTTAACTATATATACACGGCTCTCCCCATCTCTCCACTCACTCCCGCCTCCCCTCAGACGCCCCTTTCATCAACCCGACCTCCTATCCCCGTCACCACCACTCCCGAGCCCTCCACCCGACCCCGCGCCGCATTTCTTCGCATACCATATCCTGAGCTCTCCATCGACTCGTTGTGTTGGAACACCGGTATGTAGCCCGGATCTGGACGTCCGTCCAACAACCACAACCACAGCCTCGGCATCTCGATTGTGTCACCTTGAGTTGCTCACCGATGATCACTGAAGCTGTCAAGGGGAGAGCTGACGACTGATGGCTCTGCGCATCGGTGCCTTATTTGCCTTGTGCTACGTGTTTTAACTGGGTAGTGGGTTTGTGGAGTGGTGGTATGATGGGTGTGGAGAATGAAGATGGACGGGATAAGGGGGTTGGTGTTCAGCGCGTCGTGGGGTGGGAGATCGAGGGACTGGGAAAGGAGGGGGTTCGATGGGCTGCTGGGGTTCGCCATTCATCGGGTTGTGATTCGCAAGCTCCTAGGTCAGCAAATGATGACTATAATCTACCAGCGTCAGTGAATACCTGCAGCGCCATCAGATAGGGAAAACGTTGGGAAATGGAGGAATAAGCCAAAGAGAGGAGAACTGCGTTTCGGTGTCTGCAATGAGCTTACTGTGGGGGTGCCCAGGACGTTGGAAGATTGTGTTTGAGGGTTAGTGAACGAATCCGATATTGTATTCGCTCCATCCACGGAACCACACCATTTTCTCCATACTATATTCATGACTCCAGCCATGATAAGCATTTTCTGACCCCGCGCTGAGATCGCCGCGTTTCAGATGGACGTCATGTATAAAACGTGTGTCTTACCTACAGACCCATGATATTGGCCGCAGGGACGCGTCCGTCGGACGCGGGGCTGTATTGAATCGCTACGTAGCATGTTTCTGGCGCCGAGGTAAAATCCATGAACTAGTCGGTGCTGGAGATAATGTGGAGATGGTGGTTTGGTGCCAAAGTAGGTTTCCAGGTTTCGGAGCGGAGAAGGGGGAACCACGGTTCTGGATGCGGGGTTAGACTGGAGCTATCGAACGAGATGAGGAATGGAGACTGGATGGTCGGGTTTTCAGCGACTTTGAGCCGTGATGGTATTGATTTCAGGATAACCACGCCGAGTTGATCCAAAGGGGTTGGTTGAATTAGATGACCTGCTAAACGAACCAGCATTGTACATATACTCTGCCAAGGGCTCGCTTTTACGGTGGAAGACCGTATATACGCACACGAGAATAACTCTCGACGTACCGGAGCCAATGTTGCCATAACAGAAAAGGACCGTCTCGGCACCCACACATGGAGAACACATCGGATTAACCCCCCACTGGCGGATCAAGTTTCTCCCCTGACGCCTGATATGTGTAGATTCGCTTACATGTGCCAGGGGATACCTGCTACTATCTGAGCGCCCAGATGAAGATATTGCTCCCCTGCAGCTTACAGGAGCTTGCTGGTTCGATGTCTGCTAAACTGGTCACTTCAAGCGGGAAAAGGTACATATGGCTGTTATAGGCGAAATCCCACATGTGTCTTGCAGCAGATTCGATACCCTCCTCAGCTCAGCGCTCTTGACCATCATGAAGAGGACACCCGCAATAGCTTCAACTGCGTGAAAGAAGATTACGAGAGTACGCCGAGGATGCACTGTAACTATGACGGTGTGAGTAGTTTGGAGCGCCGGTAATGTTTCTGAAGCCGACTCAACAGGAGACGGGCGCTGCAACATCAATATTAACAATATACGTTGTCGGCACATGTTTGGATCTTCGCAAGGTTAGATCTTGTTCAGTCTGGTGCTGAACCCTGGGCATCACCACCTCCCAGATTGCAAGCGAATGTGCAGTAGATCCGGAGTATATTGGTGGATGAGCTACGCGTACAACGTGCGTGAGTATGTATGCCGAAGAAGAGTTTCTGGTGCATTGGCTTGTTGTTCGGTGGTGATGCCATTTCGGAGACCAAAGCTGACCGACGTACGGTGTTTTGTGTGAATTCAGATGCCGAGGCCGACGTTGGCCGGGTGCGGTTCAACAGCGAATCAGCGAAGGTTCCGAAAATGCATGGTGAATCTGGTAACATACAATTGAGGGTTGATGAAATGAACAGAATCGTGACTGTAAGAGAGAGTAACGGTGATGGCGGAGAGGATAGCTGGGCAGCAGACAGGTCGAGGAGGAAGAGGGAGAGGAGGGAGGAAGAGGAGACAGCCAAAGCTCTGGTGTTGAGAGCTGCAAATCCCATTGCCCATCTCACCTCTCCACTGCTCCCATCCCCCATCACCAATACCCCCCATAACCACCATACCAATCTTCGTCGATATCATCAACATGTCATCCCT